CAGACGGTACTTTTCTTAACGTAGAGGAAGCTTTGCATTGGGTGAGAGATGCTTATCTATAAACAAGCCATCCCTGGGATATGGAGGCCAAGCTGGCCTCTGTGAAAATGGCTTAGACCAGAGGCTCCCAAACTCTTGGTTCATGGCAGCCTTCGTGTCACGGTGATCTGTTCACAGTGCCCCTCTTAGATGGTTCTAGTGAACAGTTAGGTCTAAGCTACTTCAGAGTTACATCCTAACAACTTACTAGCCGTTTAGAAAAATAGTACACAAAATTGAAAGCCGAGATAATATTTTAATTTCGTTCTTAAAAAAAAACGCAGTTATTTACTAATGGAATGCATACGATTCTTGGACGCGAAGCTTCTCAGACTTCAGGGTCAGATTGGACACCACCACCTTCGTTTCCTTTCCACGTTGGATTTTACATGGTGCTCACTTTTTATCGCAATAATCACTGAAAACCCAGCTTGGTGAAAACCCAGCCCTGTCTTGAGGAGGGGAGTGGTACCTAATGTTGAGATGGCGGGCCGACCTCAGTCTGGTCAGGCCCACAGTGTGTGGGCAGTGTACCGTAGCCTCAGTGCCCTGGGAATTGACGTGGCACCTGGGGCGCCTTGGCATCCAGTTTGAGAACTGTGGGAAGACACAGCCTGAAGCTGAAATTGGCCCCTGTGGCAGGGTGGCTGTGAGGATTTAAACAGTCTGGTGGCAGGTCTCCCACCAAGCCTTTCACACTGGGTGATTAGCCAGGTGAGTTACAGGGGAAGGAGTTCCTAGGCCCCAGCCTGGGAGAATTCTAGTGTCGATAATATTTAGGGACATTATCACGCAGCCCCGATGGCAAGAAAATTGAAAGAGCAACAAAAGTTATTTTCTCAATTTTCCTCCCAGAAGTCACCCTGTGGATGACTGTCCCCGGATTTATACTTCTTATTAGTTTCAGCCGCTAAACTCGAGTCCGCCCACCCCCCACCCCCAGCTGGGATTTGTTAGAACTAAGGGTTTCCTTTTCTTCATTAAGAATTAAGCTTGAAAATGCGTCTTCACTTAATGAGGTTCTAATGGCTTCTCTGGGTTCGTCTTGCAGTACTTTGTTTCTTCCTGGGACCCTTGGGCCCTTCTGAGGGACCAGTTGGGCCTGGGCTGTCCCAGGAGCAGCCACCAGGCCCCTTTGCTTGTCAGGCACATGGTCAAGGAGCAACGTTAGTAGGTGCTGGGACTGCAGAGGGAGCTCTGGTGGTATAGAGCCTAAGGCATCTGACTGCCAACCGGAAGGATGGCGGTTCAAACCCACCAGCCACTCCTCAGAAGGAAGACTGGGCAATCTACTTCCATAGTGACACGGCCTTGGAAACCCAAGAGGGGGTTGGTATGAGTCGTATCGACTCGACAGCAGTGAGTTTGATTTGGTTTTTTGGGGGGACTTCAGAGGCCCCAGACTCCCCACCCCTACCCAGCCTCTGGCCCTTTAGGCCTCGGCTGCTGTGTTCTCCGTCCCATTTACAACTCAGATTCCACAGATGCTCTGTGCAGGGTCAGAGCAGGGCGTGGGCACCCCCACCTCTGTTCTCCACCATGCCTGCGTGGAAGGTGGTCAGCAGAGAGGAGGGGGGCCCTCAGTATCACCAGCCTGTGACAGGAGACCCCAGTGGAACTTTCCTTCCTCGCCCCACACACTGCCCGAGGCAGTGCTGGTGTCTGTCTGTCTGCACGGCAGTTGGGCCGGCTTGCTTTGTCATCTCCAGGCAGCAGTCTCTGGATCCCGCCTCGGAGAGAGAGCCCGTCTTCTTGGTCCGCGTTCCTCGAGCGGCACTCTGGCGTTACTGTTTCTGACCCTGACGTTCGCGTCTCCTGATGCTGTTAGAGTAGCTGAGGGCACAGGAAGGGTCAGCGCCTTCAGACTGAACCCAGACAGTGAGGAACCGGCCCTGGGGACGCAGACATGCACGGGAAGGCGCCGGTCTGGGGCCTCGTCCTGCACCTCGTCGGGGGCGCCCTGAGCTCTCTGTGTCTGCTGCCATTCGGAATGGCCTGTGTTGAGTGGGTCAGAAATGATGGGTTTTAGAGTTAGGGTATCTTCACTTCCAAAATACGGGATTTCTCAGAACGGGGTAGCTAGCACAGTCCCTGCAGTTGTCATGGGGGCCCTGGCACGATGTTCTCCTGGTGGCAGCAGGGCAGGAGGCTGGGACAGTGGCTCTTCGAATTGCCCAGCAGAGAGCTTTCAAAGTCACACTCAGGTCTGTCCTCACGGGCCAGTGTTCATGGCAGGGGAGGTGTGGGGGTCTGTAGGGGGCTGGGCAAGCTTTTGGAGGAGGGTATCTCACACACGCCTGAGCGCACACATACACACACTGTTGCGTAAGTCAGGGACAAGCAACAAGCCTCACAGCTGCCACTGGCCTGTCGAGAGCTGTGATGACGAGAGGAAATGGTCCCTGATCACTTACTGTGAACTGGGCACCATCCTAACTTGTCACATTCAAGGAATGAAAAGTTAACAGAACAAAATGTTGCCAAAAATACCCTAAAAGATGTGAGATTAAAGACAGTGATAAATGAGGGAAAGTCAAGGGGACTGCGTGGCTGGGCTCGGTGCACCCAGGGGCTGAGGGTGGACACACAGCAGTGAGCGCCGGGCTTCCTGGACGCCCACGCCCCAGTCCCTTCGCACGCTGACTGCCAGCGGGGAAGAGCGGGTTCCAGGGGTTAGGAAGCCCCGGCCAGAGGCGGTGCAGCTCCGTGGGCACGAGGCACCTCCCTGCCTTCCTGCCAGGCTTGCACCTGGTTGTCAAGACTGACCGCCCCTGGCCCTAGTTACTTTGTGGGGTTTCTCCCTTCCAGGTAAAGGGCCCGGCCCTCCCTCTGGTCTCCTTTCCCCTCTGCCTCCTTCCGCCACCACACTCACCCACACACAGACACACACACACAATCCTGCCTCCAGCTTGGTGCTTTCCGACGGCCCGTGGGTGCTACGGCCAGCACTCTGCCCTCCTGGTGTCACCCTGAGTCCTTATCCTTCCACAGAGCTACTTTCTCAGTCGAGCCCAGAGCCTGTGTGGGGCCGAGCGCAACGCCGTGCCTGACTCCCTGCGCTGGCTGTGCCACCCTCTGGGCCAGAAGTTTTTCATGGAGCGGAGCTGGTCGGTGAAGTCGGCTGCCAAGGAGAGTCTGTACTGCACCCAGAGGAACCCAGGTGAGGGCGACAGGGCCAGGAGAGCCGCCAGCACCTCCGGGTCCCCCGTGTCCCGGCTCTCACAGGTCATCCCGGTCTTGTTCCCTCATCTTTCACTGAGGCTCAGGGGGGTAAAGTCACGGCCTGAGGTCAGCACACTGCCACACGTGACACCTGGAATGAAGCCCTGCCCCAGGCTCTGTGGACAGTGGCTGCGGGGCTCTCTGGTCCTAGCCGGGGCTTCAAGAAGCAGGTGGATGTAAATGGAACCGTTAGGGAGCAGTGGGTGACAGGCGGTGATCAAGTGCTCAGAGTGGTGGCGGGGCCAGGGCTCCAGGCAGCGGGAGGAGGCGCTGGCTTTGTCCCTGCTGTTTGATGGTGATTGGAGTCGACTGGCCTGCCTCGGGGAGGAGGCCGGTTGGTGTTGGCTCAGACCTGGAACGGCCAGCTGCTTTCTGCTTCGCTTATCCCAACCCTACCCCCGAAACTGGGAGCCTTGAGCGGGTGAGGCACTTAGTTATAGGGGTGTATTCAGACAGTTGAGGGATTCCTCTCTCTTTTTTTTCTAAAATAATAAGCTTCACTAATCAATGAGAGAATTGTGTATGACACCAAAGAGTAAGAACATAAATGGAAACAGTCCTGAGCCTTGCAGCCCCTTCCGCACGGACCCCTTTGTGTCTACGGCTAGACTTTCCATTGCCTCTCACCACTCAGGTCCTGGCCACATTCCTGAGCGTTCCACCCTTCTCGGGCTGAGGCCCCCATGTCCGTGACGTGTGAGGGAGGGGAGGGCTGGTGACACCCTGATCTGGGCCTGCTAGTAAAGGGACTTGTCGGTGACGGGCAGCTGTCCCAGCTTTGCAAGGCCCCGTGTTTAATCAGCGAAATCCCGGGTGAGCACGGGGTCCACGACGAGGCTCTGGAAAAGTGGACGAGCAGGCTCTTCCCTGTCGTGAGCGTGGTGGCAGCCGCCTGCTCTGGGTTGGCTGTTCTGCGTGCCTCTCGGGCCTGGTGTAGTTGTCACCTCCCTACTTGCTGTGGCTGACGAGGCTCGCGGCCACCGCCTTCCAGCTCCCCACCTTGGGTTGAACCGCTGGGCACCGTGCCATGAGCTACAGTAACATACTGGACACCCCCCAACAGGGCTAAACCAGAACCTACGTGGTCATGGGTACCTCAGTGCCAGCGAGGGTCACCATCCCCTCGTCTTCAGACTGTTTAGCCAGATAGCTCTGGATTTGGGTACGGGATGGGGGATTTGATCCCCCTTCAGAAGGGATGCCTGTTTTCAGGGTTCCTCTCCCCACACTCCTATTTCTCTGTAAGGACAAAATGGGCCTACAAATAACACCCGTTTAACCCTGCCCCTGGCCTCTCTCCTCTTCTCCAGCTGACCCCATTGCCCAGGTCCACCAGGCGTTCTGCAAGAACCTGCTGGAGCGAGCTGTGGAGGCCTTGGTGAAGCCTCAGGCCAAGAAGAAGGCCGGTGACCAGGAAGAAGAGAGCTGGTAATGTTCCCGGAACAGCCCCTGTCTCTGGAGCTAGAAGCAAGCAAGCCCTTGTGGAGGGAGGGCAGAAAGTGTGTCCATCAAACCTGGCACAGAGCTTCAATTGGCTGTTCCCTCACACTCCTGCCCCCATCCTCCCACCAGTAGAGCAAGTCAAGGACGTGATGAGTTTGCTTTGTGTTTTTTGGGGGGTGGCCTGTTGAGGGGACAGGAGTAGAAGCAGAATGCCGACAGCTTTGGGACTCAGACCAGCACTCAGTGGGCCAGACCGAGTCTAACTCTCGTGTGTTTATCAGGCATAGCCTTTCCCTCTCAGAGTAAGACCTCAGAGGTGGACAGGTGCCAGAATCAGCCGAGATCAAGGCCGAGGTCCTGAGCAGAGGGCATGGAGGGGGGGCGGTTCTGCCTGTGAGATGAGAAGGCTTCTACAGAGGCGCGGGGCGGGTGGGGGTGACTTTGGAACTAGGCCCTGAGGAGAGTGAGCTCATGGGGAGATGTGAACTGGTGGGTGATGGGCGGGTCAGTAACAGCCCAGAGACCTGGGAAGGAGGGAGGCTGTGGGGGGTGAATGGTGTGTGGGCAGCGCTGTGGGTGGCCCCCGGCAGGACGTGACCTGCTCTTCAGCCGAGGAGGCGGCCAGCCAGGCCCTGGGGTGGCCTCCGTGTGCGGTGTGCCGTGTGTCGTGTGCGGTGTGCCGTACACGGGCCCTTTCTCTTTCCAGTGAATTCTCCCACGCTCTGGAGTACCTGCGGTTGCTCAGCTCCTTCGTGGACTCCGTGGGGGTTGTGGCCCCGCCCTTCTCCAGCAGCTCTGTGCTCAAGTCGGCCCTCGGTACGCACCTTGGGGCGGGTCCACAGGTCTCGGGGCTCCTTAGTGCAGGCCCTCCCAGCCCTCTGTCCTGGGCCCAGGCGTAGCCAGGCGTGCACACTGGAGAATCTCTGGACCCCAGGTCTGTATCTGCAGCCCCATGTAGCACCAGCCCATAGTGCCCCGTTCTGGGCCACAGTCTGGGGGCAGGAGATAGCAGTCCTTCATGTGGGACAGTGACTGGGTGGACAGGTCACAACCCTTCCCAGCTGCAGCAGGCAGCAAGCGGCCCAGGCAGCAGGGCTGGCAGAGCTCACGGTCACGATACACAGTGGTCCCCGACGTTGCTCGGGGTCGACACCGCCACTGCAGACACTGCTGCCCCGGGCTCCCGTGCCTCCTCCAGTGACACAGCCCAGCCCGCTGACTCACCGTGCACAAGGACAGTCTTTGCTTTTGTCCCTAAACTGCCATCAGCCACCTCTGGGAGAGACAAGGGCGCTGGGCTAGCTCGGGCCACTCCCAGAGAGGAGCCAGGGCAGCTGCCACCCCCTTGTGGCCACAGACCTCTTGGTGGCCTCTCTGTTTTAAGGTTTAGACAAGGATTCACTCTCTGCCTTTCATCTCCTGACCATCCCCGGGGGCCGTGTGAGGTCACTAATACCATAATCTTGCTGTTGAGAAAACTAAGGCTCAGAGAGGAAGAAACTTCTAAGATTCTAACAGGAGCCTGGTACATAAATGTTTTGGAAACACTGTTTTTCCTGGCTGTTGGAAGTTTACTTAAGCCCTGCTTTTTACTTGATAACATTACAGTGAACATCTTAGTTTAGCTGATTGTCTCTATCTAAGCCAGTTCCTTGGTGACCGATTGTCAGCAATAGGATTACTACATCAGTCGGGTGAGCATTTGTGTGGCTGTGGATATGTATTGCTGGGTACGTTCCAAACAGTGCTGGCTGATGCTGCCCGCAGGACCACGTGAGAGCAGCCCCAGTCCCTGGGTTCCCGCCAGAGGTGAAGGGGCCAGTACCACCTGGGCACAGGTGCAGCCACGCTGGCTTCTGTGGGTGCTGGGCTGACACGTGGTGCTGCTCCTCTCCAGGTCCAGACGTCGTCTGTCGCTGGTGGACATCCGCAGTCACCATGGCCATCAGCTGGCTCCAAGGAGACGACGCAGCTGTGCGCTGTCACTTTGCTGAAGTAGAGCGTGTCCCCAAGGCCCTGGAAGTGACCGAGTACGTAGGCCTCCTTGGACCCCCAAGAAGCTGGCTCACTCACCTTAGTGGGAGGGGTCCAGGTTGGGGTGAGGAGTCAGGCAGCCTGGGGACTGAGTGACAGATGGAGCGGAAGAGGGCACCGCAGAGAACTAACCGTGGCCAGCGTGTCCGTCTGCCCGTCTCATGCTGGGCACAGCTCGGCTGTCATCACGGCAGCTGGGAGGACCTCTTTCGGCACCACAGAGTAAATGGGAGAAACAGAGTCTGGCCCCAGCTTCTCCAGGAGCTGCTTTGTGGGGCAGGCAGTGTGGTCTCCAGCCAGTGCAGAGAAGGGAAGGGTTCCCAGAAGCCTGTGGGGGCTATCGGATCCCCCCACATGCCAGCATTTCATCCAGTGTCCAGTCAGCCGCCCGCTGTCCCCACCGTCAGCCCTGTCAGCCTTGTCCCATAACTGAAAGGGTCTTTAGCGCAAGACGAGAGCCTCTGCCATTCCTCCTTGCGGGCATTGGGCACTTTGTGACCGGTGGCCCTGCCCGTCACCCTGGCTGGTCCCGATCGATTGGAGTGTCCCCGACACTTCTGCCCCTTGAGAGTGCTCGTGGCAGGAAGGTCTCGGGAGATCCTGGCCTCAGATCCAAGACTCACTTCCCGCCGAGCAGCTCTTAACCAGAAGAACAGGGAGCGCTAAGAGTGGGGCTGACAAGTTTGAAATCCCATGCTCCCTGAAGAAGGCCTGACACCCCCAATTTCATTTCTCCTACTCCTTTTTAAGCCCCTGACCAGTGAGCGCCCAGCAGGTACCCAGCCAGCTCCCCTGAGGAGATAGGCTCAGGGGGGTAATGGCCTAACATCACCCCACTGCTTAGCAGCAGAGCCCTAGCATGCAGCTGAGAGGCTCAGCAGGCTTCCCTCCACCCGCACTAAGCCACTCCTGCGTCCCTTTGCTCTTGGACGGTCGCAGTGGGGAGAGAACCCTGCCCCAGCCGCCACCACCCAGCCCCAGTCCTCTCCCTTCTCTGCAAAGAGGCTGCGTTTCTGCAGAGAGCTGAGCACAGGCTTCTAGGGGAGCTGTCCCTTTTAAGAGCAGGCACGTGCAAGGCCACCACTTTATGAGACCATAGGCAGCAGAGATATTGTGACCACTTTACAGAAAGGAAACTGAGGCACAGATGGTTTGAAAGATCCTGGTTGAGCTGGAGGACGCTTTGTCGGCCACACACTCTACTCGGGTCTTCTGTTGTTGTTGTTGCTGTTGTTATGTGCCGTCGAGTGAGCCCTGACTCATAGCGACCCCTCCTTGGGTTTCCGAGGCAGTATCACTACAGAAGTAGGATTGCCCAACCTTCCTTCCGAGGAGTGGCTGGTGGGGGTCTCCTGTGGTCGTCCATGATAGCGCTATCCCTCAGCACATCTTCCCCTGAGGGCTTACTCAGTGCCAGCCCCCTTCTGGGCCCCGGCAGTAAAGGAACATGTCTTAACAGAGGTGGCACTCAGTGCTGGAAAGAAAATCTAGAGCTGGGTTGGGGGTAAGGGGTGGGGAGTGGGAGGCCTGCCCTGCATAGGCTGCCCCCTTAGGAGTGTGAAAGCAGCACGTCCCTTCAGCACTACAGGGAGGGGTTCTGGGGTTGGGAGGGGTCGGCCTCCAGGAGTACAGACAGCGGTGCTGAGGGAAAGGCCCAGAAACCGTGGTACAGAGGCAGTCGGGTCCGTGGGGAAGCAGAGGTACAAGCTACGCTCCAGACCTGGAGCTGGGCCTGGAGCCAGCACACGGCAGGGGTTGGCCAGACGCACACATCCCGGTGGTATGAGATGAGGGTCACCCGTACCCCGGCTCAGCTCCGCCTCCCCCACCCCACCCGCCTCAGTGCCGACCTGCCTCTCCCTCCCGCCACAGGAGCCCCCTGGGGAAGGCCGTCTTCCACACCTGCAGAGCCATGCATACCTCGCTCTCGGGAAAGGCCGACAGGCAGCAGAGCTTCTGCCACTGTGAGAGGGCCAGTGGCCACCTGTGGAGTAGCCTCAACGTCAGCGGGACTGCCTCTGACCCCGCCCTCAACCATGTGAGTGGGGGCATCCCAGCACCTGGGGCTGTCGCAGAGCCCCCTTTCTGGCGTGTCCCCACCTGCCCCTGTGCCAGGCCTCCTGGATCCCAGTGGCGCGGGCGGCCCCTGTTGTCACCGCACCCACTGAGCAGGCCGAGCGCCCGGGAGGCCTTCGTAGCGGCAGCACACCCGGCGGGCAGCTGGGGTGCATTGTAGTTGCATTGCATGTCCCGGCAGCACCGTGCAATGTTCCCACAGTGCATCCCAGAGGCCTGCCCGTCTGCGAGGAGACTCCTCCGGCCTCCCCAGGGCCCCGTGCTGGGGGCGAGGATCCTTGTTCGAGGGCATTGTGGTCTCAGTCACCGTCAGGCCACGTGGCTTGGCCCTCCCGGGCAGCACACACGACTGAAAGGAAAGCCCCGGTGCTCACCTGGACCAGCGCGCTTTCACTCAGGAAGGGGGACAGGAAGACCCCGGGGTCAGACTCGACCCTTACTGGGGCTTGAGCCCCAGGTGACTGGGCTGGCACTTCCGACTAGAGGACATCAGGGGGCCCAGGCAGGACCTGAGAGGGCATGGCTGCCCGCAGTGACAGGCAGTGTGTGGAAGGGCCCCGGCGTGGAGCCCTGCAGGGAGCTGGACAGTCCCACGTCACCGATCACCTTTCCGTGTCTGCCTTAGTGTCTGTCTCCATGGAGAACCCACACAGTCTCTGTGGAGTTAGGTGTACAAGCAGCTGGGGCTGCCCCCGCGGCTGGGACTCTGGTGGGAAAGTGGGAAGAGGAGAGGGGACCCGTGGGGCCTGGCGGCCCTGCTGCCCATGGTCCAGAGGTGCCCCAGTGCCAGCTTCCCCTGGGGGTCCTCACCCATGACCCCTTGAGGCTGTCGGTAGGGTCTGTGCACGGTAGGGTCTGGGGCAGCACAGGCAGCCCCTCCTTGTCCAGAGCCTCGGGCCAGCCCAAGGGGCCTCCACCAGGGTGGGAAGACTTGAGTGTTCCAGGCCGGCCCACCAGGGATTCGTTCCTGCCTCGGCCCCTTGCCCCGTGTATCCCCCATGCAGGCTCTTGGCCCTCTGAGCTTGGCACTCTCACCTACAGGATAGGGGAGAACACATCTCCCACCCCCTGGGCCCGTGGGAAGGGTGAGACGACACAAGACCAAGTTCACCACCAGCTCTCCTCCCGCCCCGCAATGCTTGCCAGGCTGCCCCCGTGTGGGGCTCTGCACCTCCTCCCCGGACTGGCATCTGTGTCCCTGGGCTCTGCCGGTCACCCAGCTCCTCCCTCACGGCTCTCCCCACAGGTGGTCCAGCTGCTCACCTGTGACCTGCTGCTATCCCTGCGGACTGTGCTCTGGCAGAAGCAGGCAAGCGCCAGCCAGGCCCTGGGTGAGGCTTACCAGGCATCGGGCGCCGAACTAGCTGGCTTCCAGCGGGACCTGGGCAGCCTGCGCAGGCTGGCACACAGCTTCCGCCCAGCATACCGCAAGGTGAGCCCCAGCGGGCCTCGACGGGCTCCCTGCAGGGCCTGAGCTCTGGACCCCAGGACAGGTGTCAGCACCTGCTTGTGGGGCTGCCCCTCTGAGGCCAGCCAGTTGACCCGTCAGGCACTTGCTCAGGCCTGACGCTGGAACATGGTGGTGGCTGCCGTTCTGTGCCTGGCCTGGAGCTGTCCCCACCAGGCAGTGCTGTGATAGGCAGGCGTCAGAGGGTATGGGAGTAAGTAGGGGCTTCTGGCCTGTCCGGGGCAGAGCAGTGAGGGGCAGGAGTGCCTGAGGGAGCTGTGGTCGGACCCAGGTAACTGGCCTGAAATGTTCAAACTGCGCCTCACTTTCTTTGAGCCCTGCCCTTCTGTTGCCCAGCCTTCCCCACTGGCATCCCTGCTGCCGCCACGGGAGCCGAGTGTCTGTGAGGATGGTTGTATGCCTGACTTGCAAGATTCAAATCTTTTCCTCGTTTGTTACATTTTCATTGCTAATTAGAGTAACACACTTCGCATTTTTACCTGAATTATTTCCCAAAAATTCAGATGAGGTGGGCAGACGTGAAGGGACTGTGTTTAGAGGACGCAGGAAAGGAGGAGGTCCCTGGGGGCTCCTGCCACCCTAGAAGCCAGTGTGTAGCCCCCACACTCATCATCCTGCGTGCTGGGGGCCCCTTCTCTGTCACTAACGTTCTAGTGTGTGGCAACCAGGACAGACCTGTCAGGTCTGGGATGTCATCATATGAGATCCTGCCCTTAGCCAGAAAAGTGGAAGTGGCCACTGGGGTCTGAACACAGGGCCCGCTCTGGCCACCTTCCATCTGATTGGGGACAGCTGGCATCAAAGTCCTCATGCCATGCCATTTCCAACCTGCCACTCCCACTCAGACCCTTCATAGGTCCCTTGTCCCCTCCTGGCTACCATTGCACTCAAGACCCTCCCCGCAGATGGCAGGACGTGAAGGAGCCTGGGGTCTGTGGATTAGAGAGCAGCCCCCTTTGCTCCCCAGTGATTCATATTTACTGAAGACTTGCACACTCTCCTGGAAGCTTCCAGTCTCTTTCTGAAGAAGCATGAGGGAGCAGGACTCGGCACCTCCCGTCCCTTCTGTCTTCCCAGGCTGAGAGCCACTTGCCTTTCAGCCCCGGAGTGGAGGGCCTGGGCCCTTGCTGGTCTGGCTCCTGCCCCCAGCTGCTCACCTCTGCTTCGTTTGTCCCTTCTGCTTCCCGCCGTTCTGGCTCGGCTCGGCTCAGGGGAGTTCAGAACAGTGGACGCTGCTTTGAGGAGTGAGCGAGGCAGGGTCGTATATGGAGGAGAGGTGACGGGATAGGGCAGAGGGAGAGGACTTGCTGGGGTGTGGACACACCAGGACCTGAGACTTGACTGTTCCCCCCAGGTGTTCCTGCACGAAGCCACTGTCCGCCTGATGGCAGGAGCCAGCCCCACCCGCACCCACCAGCTGTTGGAGCACAGCCTGCGACGGCGTAGCACCCAGAATGCCAAGCACGGTGAGTCCGAGGGCACCCGGCCTGGCGGCCCGCAGTGTGGCCTCCGGCACAGCTCTCGGCCCCTGGGTCTCATGTGCAGGGAGCCGGGAGAGCAGGGCAGGGGCTAGAGTTGCAGCACTGAGCCCAGTTCCTGCCCGAGAGCCGCAAGCCGGGATCAGCAGCCAGGCCTTGGGGCTCCGCCCAGTGCAGAGCTGTTCACCTGTGAACTGCGCTGGGGGTGGGGACAGACTCTGCGGGAGGCGCTTGGCACAGCGCCACGCAGGCTGGTGAGCGGGACCTATATATTTCACCATTCCCACAGGTGAGGTGGACGCCTGGCCTGGGCAGCGTGAACGGGCCACCGCCATCCTGCTGGCCTGCCGCCATCTTCCCCTCTCCTTCCTCTCCTCCCCGGGACAGCGGGCCGTGCTGCTGGCCGAGGCCGCCCGCACCCTGGAGAAGGTGGGGGACCGGCGCTCCTGCAGCGACTGCCAGCAGATGATCGTCAAGCTGGGTGGTGGCACGGCCATCGCTGCCTCCTGACCACCACTCTGCCGCGCACCTGCCTTCCAGCCTCACTGCCCCTCTGTCTTTCTGTCTGCCCCTGTCTCTCCCTCTGTCTGTCCTTCCTTCTCCCTCCGGGAGCCTGAGGATGAGCCTGGCTTCTGAGCTGTCCCCTGCCAAGGCCGCCTCAGGCCGGTGGGGCCGTGGGTAGAGCCCCTATGCTGCTGCATCAGCCTTAGGGCCGGGGCCGTGTGATCTGAGAGAGAAAGACTGGCGGGCCGTGTGGTGGGGTGCCCAGGCTCGAAGGCTGCTGAGCCCCTGCCCGGAGCCCTCCCAGGGAGACCCACTGGCTGCCACCCCCGGTTTCCTGCTTCTTGGTTTTTCATCGGGCTTTCCTCGGGGATCATAGGTCTGGGGCCCCAGGGAGCGCGTACGCACCCTGGGCTCGTGTGCGGTGTGCCCTTTCATGCGACGTTTTTATATCCGTGTGCTTGGGCGCGCCCTGACGGCAGGAGCTGCTGAAGCACCCTCCATTCCCTCCCTGGGCCCGTGTCCCCTCCCCTGGGCCTGACAAAGCCCGTTCATTGTTTTTTTTCTTTATTGTGCAGGACACCAGGGATGGGCAGGGAGCCAGCCCTGGGAGGCAGCGGGAGGCAGGGGCCAGGCCTGAGATGGATGAAATAATGTCAGCATTATTTTTTAATTTTTTTAAAATAAATGGTATCTTATTTAATTGTCCTGTTCTTCCCACTCTCCGCCCACTGGGACGAAAGCCCAAACTCAGGCTAGGCCCGAGGGGCTGGGAGGGCTGAGGCCAGCCACCCGTTTAGGGCTGGGGGCGGTCCTCCCATGTGAATTTTCCAGTTCCCTCCTACCCCTACCCCAGCCCACCTCCCACCTCCTACCTCCAGAGTCTGTTTTTATCCTTTTCTGGTCTGAAAACAAGCCAAGGTGGCAGCAACTGGCCCCAGACCCGCCCCAGAGACCAGCTCCCCTTTTTGAGGGTGGGCAGAGGGTTGTACACGGTGGGCACTAGGGTGGAGGTCCCATGCCCTAATGGGGGTCCTAGGAGGCTGGGGGGGCTGCCCTCTCTCCCTGCCCTGCGGAGGGTGGGCAAGGCCCCGTGCCAGTGTGGCCCTGTGGGCCAGGTTTGCCCCTGAGGTTTGTGGGCTCCCTCCCCACTCTGACTGTATTTGTGGACCCTGTCCCCTAGGCCAACCCTTGTGTCACGTGTACTGTGCCTTTTCTCCTTACAGTGCAGGGGTGGGAGGGGGTGGTTTCAATGACAAGGAGATGCATCCATGCCCGCCTTTCTGTTCAGCCGCTCACGTGGCCAGGATGTAGACTGCTGAATAAACAAATTGGTACCCCCACCAGTGTAAGGTGTGTGACCGCCATCACTAGCCACGGGGCTGTATGACTTGGTCTCCCACGGGCCAGCGAGCAGGGCCGCCTCCCGGTCACTGCGGGCAAGCCCGAGGGGCCCCAGGGGCTTCAGCAGGAAGGCCTTCCCTGCTGGACGTCCACCTGCCCCCTCCCCTCCAGTGCTGGCTGTCCTGCTCACACTCCTCCTCTGGGAGGGGTCTGTGATACGGGCTGTGGGTGACACTCCTGGGGTCACCATACCCACGCTTTGCTCCCAGAGGTAGAGCTGCTGAGGCAGCTGACCCCAGAATCCTGTGGGGTTTTGAGTGCCAAGCCCTGGTGTGTTTCAACTCTTCAATCACCCCCAATGGGGGGCACTCTCTGTCTCCTCTTCCTCCCTGACAGCAGTGAGCCTCTGAGGACACTCAATGGCCATAGATCAGACCAAGCCTGGGCCTGTACTTCCTGGCTGGGTCACTTCGGGCAGGGACTGTCCCCCTCGGCCTCCACTTATCGTGTTCCCCATGAGCTCTTGGCAGCCTCGTGAGGCCAGCCTTGGTTTAGGACACCCCTGGGTGGGGGTGGGGGTCCGCCGAGGAGCCATTGGCGGGAGAGTGCCGAGTCTGCTAGGGTAGGGGGTGAGGGGTAGTAGCTGGGGCCAGGTGAGTGAGCCTGGTGGCTGGAGTGCACAGAGGCCTCCCCGTGCTCCCCAAGTCTGAGAAACGGGCCGGGTCTCTTTAGCACTCTGAGCTCTTGCCCTCTGAAGGGCAGTCGTGGCCACACTGTCCTGGGCCAGACCAGCTTTAGGGGGCCAGCCCCTGCCCACAGGTAGCATTTTCTTACACAAGGACCATGTCCCATGGCCTCAGCCCAGCCCCAGTGGACTCAAGATCCAGAGCCCTTGGGGCTGAGGAACAGAGGGGTTGTTCCCACCTCTTGACATAGCCCAGCCCGGGCCTGCGTCACCAGGGTGGGTGGCCGTGGGTGGCCGATGTGCCCAGGAGCCCCATCCTTCTGTGAGTCTCGGCAGGCTCCATGACTCAGCACCCACCCCCCACCCCCAGCTCCACACAGCTGTGTAGGCCCAGGGCGCCTCACCCCCACCCCCACCCCAAGCCAAGGGTGTAAGGGCTGGACTCTAGGCTCTGCTCCCTCCACAGCCTCAAGGGGCAGGGAAGTGGGACACTCCTGCAGTTGGGGGCTGGACAGGCCTGGTGGGTGCCTGGTGGGTTCTGAGGCCTTGGGGCACGTCAGCCAGCAGGAGGAAGGTCTGAAATGGGGCTCCTGGACCTGGAGCCAACACTCATGTTCATGGGCTCCCCGGGCTGCCCTGCTATTGCAGATCCCTGTGGCAGCTGAATACAGAAGCTTCCTGAACTGGGGTTCAGCTGGGTGACCTCCAGACTCCCATTTCCTCACCTGTAAAGTGAGCTCTATAAATGTCCCCTCTTCCGGGGTTCCCGTGGGGATCAAATGAGAGACAGCAACAAGTGGGGCAGTTAGAACAGCATGCCTGCCAGGGCGCACAGCTCAGACCGTGTCACTGTCACATTGAGGCCCATAGCCCAGCCCTCACCTCCCCAACAGTCCCTGGCACAGAGGAACCTATCAAAGAGGCACGCAGGCTGTTGGCAACTATTTGGGCCACGGCCAGATACCGGGAGCCCTCCTGGCAGCAAGCGGGGAGCTGGCGGTGCCCAGTGTATGGGATGGGGGGGCACTGCCCAGCCTCCCATCCCCCTTCCCCCAGAGCAGCTCCTGGGAGGAGGTCCCCCACCCTGAGTACCAGCTGTCCGCCAGGCCCTCTGCCCGTGCCCATTGGGGGGGTGGCCCCAGGCCAAGCGACCGGCAGGCCAGGGGCCGGCCTAGAGCCAGACCATCACGTAGATTCAGGCTGTAGGGCAGGGGATGACACCTCCAACAGAGGGCAGGGACCCCAGGGGCCTAATGGGCCCCACAGTCCTCTCCCCTGTACTAAGCCTCAAGGTGGCTAGACCCTAATTGCCTCCTTGCCCCTGGGTCTGCTGGTGTGGGCACTCACCCTGGCCATCCCTCCATCACTTCCCTGGCTCCCAACAGCCACGCGTCAGGCCTCCAGAGCAGTCCTCGGCTGCTGCGCCCGCTGTGCCCTCGGCTCCCACCACCGTCTGTCCAGCGAGTGACCAATACTGCCATCAGCGCCTGGCCCGCCAAGCTAGGGCGCCTTCTTTATTCTCAGGGGCGGGAACCACCAAAAAGGGCCTATTTACACAAGGAACTCAGGCCTTGGGACCCCTTGGCAGGAAGACTGGCCTGAATCTCTGGTCCCCTCGTCCTGCGGGCTCCAAGGACCCCTGCCCCGTTTGGGCAGCAGAGGGCTGGCCTTCCTTGGCCGTGGCTCCTCCCCACAGCCTGGGGCTCCGCACCGAGATGTCTGCAGGGGCCCCTGGCGGATGAGGGCTGGGCGATGCCTCCAGGGGACCGGCGTCTGCCCTTCACACGGTGACCTCGGCTTTGCTGTTGGTGCTCAGGTGCCGGGGTCCGCGGCCCGCGCTGCCGTACAGGCCAGGGGGCTGCGCGCTGAACGCCTCGGGCAGCTTCTCCACGCTGAACTGGCGCCGGGGCGCGTGGCTGGGTCTCCGTGTTGCCGGGGAGGCCTGGGCCGCCAGGTGGCCGCGGGGGGCGGGCCGGACCGGGCGGCCCGCGGTCCAGGCCTTGTAGTGGCCCGACGAGGCGGGGCCAGCCGGGGGCGCGTAGCCCGGTGGGGCCCAGGGGCAAGCGTCAAGCAGCGCGGGCAAGTCCTCGGGAGGCCGCGGGCCCCGCGCCGGCAGAGTCAGCGGGACCGGCTCGGGAGCGGAGAAACGCTGGTAGAAGTCTGGGGGGGCGCCCTCTGTGGGGACAGGGCGGAGGAGGTGTCAGACCTCAGGAGCGGGGTCAAAAGGGCAGAGTCGGGGTCGGACGGCAGGGGCCGGTGATAGGTGAGGCAGGGAGGGGGCGGGGTCATGGACGGGCGGGGTCATATCGCAGGGGCGGGGCCTCAGCACCCACATAACGAGAAAGGGCGGGGTTAGGCCGCGGGAGGCGGGGCCCGGGGTTGGGGTATGGAGGAAGGCGTGGGAGCCAATTGGCTGCGAAGGAAAATTTTGGTTCTCTGCTGCAGGATGGTAGCTGTGGGCGATGCTGGGGTGGCGGGAGCTCTGATCTAGCCAGGCTGTGAACTTTGGGACTCAGAGCTGTGTCCCCCGAGTTGGGTGCCCGGGGGCGGTGGGCCTGACAACGGGCGCTCCAGCACGGCGCAAGCCACTCACCCGCTGCCTTGAACGCTGCGGCCTTGAGCGTGGCGTATTTGACGTAATCAGGCTGCGGCGTCATGGTGCTGCCGCTCTGCAGCCGGGGGCCGCGCGGGGGCCGCGGTGTCACCAGCCCCAAGGGCACGTTAGTGGAGCGCTTCTTGTCTGGGGGCGGGGCAGGGAAGGGGCAGGGAAGACGCGCTTGGGCCCGCTGCCCGGGGCGCACTCCACCCTGCCAGAACCTGCAAGGCCTGGCTCCAAATAACACGAACAATAGCAGTCAGCCCCGCGTGGGTGCTAACCTAGTAGTGACTTGCCAGCCCACCCTCCACGGGTCAACCTTGAGCCAGGCTCAGAGTCCCAGGATCTCCAGGATGGAGGAATGTCTGAAGACCAGAACCCAAAAGAGATTGGGTGGGGCTGCCAATGCCGCCATCCCAGCTACAGGCCAAGAGGGGCCCCAGCCTGGAGGAAACGGCCCACAGGAGGTCACAGACCTGGGCCAGGCAGACCCCAGGACCCTGGGAGGACTGGAGGGCCCCAGCTGGAGCCTCAAAACCACAGTCCTAGTGAAGGTCCCTGAATCTGAAGCCTATGCCCAGCCCCTGAGAATCAAGGTGGCAGAGCCCATGGGGGTGTCCCCTCCGCCAGGGCAATTCCCCAACCAGCTCCATTGCCCCAGCTCCATTCACACACCTGTAGCCCATTTCCATGTGGGAAACAGCCAGCTCAGAGCTCCCACTCCCAACCAAAGGATCAACCCTACACCCTTTCCCATGCTCTCAGCCCAGGTCAGGGTCAGACAAGGGAGGTCCGGTGCTCCCAGGCTACTCACCTGTGCTGTTGTGGGGGGAGCCCTGAGGGAGGCCATCACTCATCTGCACCTGGACACAGCTGCCGAGGGGCGGGCCCAGTGGTGGGGGCAGTGGCTCCTGGGGGCCCGGCTGCTTCAGCAGTTCTGTTAGCGTTCTGTGGGGACAGAGTGGTAGAGGCTGCCCACCCCCCACCACCGCCTCCTGCCTCCCCCTTGGCCAAGCCTTGGCTTATCAGAAGTCAGCCCTGGCCGCCACTCTCACTGTGTAGTCCTGGACATCACTAGCCCTCCACCCTCTCCTGGAGTTGGCCTCACACATCCTTGACCAGAGCAGGTCAAGGAGTTCTAGTGGGGTTACACGTAGCCAGGGGTCACCTTGTATTCTAGGGGCTCCTCTCACCTCCTCCTCCTGGAGCCCCGATCCAATACCCTCCAAGTCAAGCTTCTTCTCTCAACCCAAGCTCCCTGAACATGTCAGGCCTCCTGGACTTTGCTTGTGCTGTTCCCTCTGCCTACGACATCCTTTCTGCCAACTCCTCCAGTAAAACTCCTACACACCCTTCAAATCCCCACTGGAGTTCCTCCTTATTCCAGAAACCGTCTTTACCTGCCCACCTAACCCTTCCTACTGCAGGGGCTGCTCTGGGTCCTGGGGCGTGGTTATCAGCACAGGCAGGGAGGGGTAGGCAGATGAGAACAGGGACACAGGAGATGGCCCAGCACCAGAGGGCTATGTGACCTTGGGCAGCCACTTCCCTGGGCACCCAGGACACCCAGCCCCCACCCAGCTGTGACAGCAGCTGACAGCCTTCACCGAAGAAGCCAGACCCAGCCCTTGGCCCAGCTGCCTCCGGTACCCAGAACCCATGTTTTTCTCCTATTTCCGTCTGACTCCCCCATCCCCTTCTGGGGCTGAGGCCTCAGATGGCTGATTCAAGAAGAGGCACACAGGAGGTGGGATCCCTGAGGGTCAGCACGGTTTGGCTGTAGTGCAGCAGGGTCCAATGCCTCCTAGTGCCCCACCCCGACCCGACCTCCACACCCAGCTCACTCCTCCACCGCCCAGCCACGGTCTCAGCTCTGGGCAAGCTCCCTCCAGCCCAGGTCTCCCAAACACTGCCATAATTTTCATGCCTCTGGACCTCTGGACAAGGAGCTCTAGTGGGTTAGTGCCTGAGGCATCTGACTCCTCACCAGAAGGCTGGCACTTCAAACCCACCAGCCACTCCTCGGAAGGAAGACTGGGCAATCTACTTCCGTAAAGATTTACTGCCTTGGAAACCCAAAGGGGGTCGCTATGAGTCAGAGTCGACTCAATGGCAGTGAGTTTGATTTTTTTTTTCTTTTTGGTTTGACCTTTGAACAAACTTTCTCAGGGACAGACTCCAGTCCCTCCCCCCAAAATCCCTTGAGCAGCCTTTCCTGATCATGACCCCCAACACAACAGTTAAGGAGAGCCAGGGTTCAGAAGCCACCCACACATACGCCCAAATCCCTGTTCTAGGTCTCCCCAGAGAGGACAGAGTCAAACATATGAGATCCTGACTCCACAGAGGGAAAGGGCCTAGCCAAGCCACACAACGCATCCTGAGGCTGATGGTAGTGGAACCGGCTCTGCTTATCAGTTTCCTTTCAGACGAAGAGGGTTCAAGGTAAACACATCAGCCAGGTTGTCCAGCCACCCCTGTATCCATCATGGCCCATGGCTTCGGATGCCCATCCCCATCAAGCATATGCCCTGCCCTTTCCCCAGCACTCAGTGTGAGGGACCCCACGTGGGGGAGGATGCAGGCTGAGAGACCCACAGTCCTAGGGTAGCACAGTAGCTGAGAGTGGGGACCAGGTCTGGCTCCAGCTCTGCCCTCCAGCCGTCGGGGACAGGGGAGGACTAAGTCCAGGGGCAAGAGGGCCTGGAATGCCAAGAAAGCCCTTCTGCCCTGCCCCCGAGACCCCGGAGGGGGCAGTATGCGTCTCTCTATTGTCACTTCTAAATACCAGCCTGTCACACGCAGCACCAACAGCTACCACCACAGAGCAGCCCACAGGCCCAAGGGGTTGGGGGCTGGGAGGTGAGAAGGGTGCAGGCCCCCAGACGTGGTGGGGGGTGGGTATGTGTGCGTGTGTCTGGGTGCGGGGCAGGGGGCTCCAGGGCAGGGACACACAGAATCCCCTTTATCCCTGTTTTCTGGCTGAGGAAGGGAACCCGGGTCTCTGAGACCCCACTTCACACTAAGCTCTGAGCTCAGCCCGCCCCGCTCCTGTCCTTGGGAGCGTAGGGGTCTGTGCCCCACCCCCTCACCTCAGCCCCCTTGAGTACTACACAGGGGGAAACTAAAAAACAACAACAAAAAAACGAACTCACTGCTGTGGAGTCGATTCCAACTCATAGCGACCCCTCCTTGGGTTTCCCAGGAGGTATCTCTACGGAAGTGGATTGCCTAACCTTCCTTCTGAGTGGCTGGTGGGTTTGAACCGCCAGCCTTCTGGTTAGCAGCCAAATGCTTAAGGCATTACGCCACCAGAGCTCCCACAGAGGGGGAGGCCCTGACATTGCTTGAGAAATACTGTGTGTGTGTGTGTGTGTGTGTGTGTGTGTGGAGAGCGGAGCGGGCTCTGAGACCCCAGAGAAGGAAGACCAGGCCTGAGTCACACTGAGGCGATGGAAGTCCCCTTCGAAGGGGACTGGAAGGGTGAGTGAGAGCCAAGAGCGCTGCAGACGTTCACCACAGCACCTCCGCACTCCTCACCCGCCTGGCCAGTGGGGCTTTGCCCTTTAGAGCCCCTCCCCTTGGCGGGGACCTTGTGGCCCTCCGTGCAGGGCGACCTGCCCTCCCCGCCCACTCCAAAGGAGGAGGCGGGAGCCACGGAGGAGGGCGGCCAGCGCCCAGCCCCGGCCGGCCGGAAGGTCAAGGCGAGACAGGGCAATATCATCTGTCTCCCTCTGTGAAGTGGGGGTGGGGGAGCCGGAGACAAGAGACAAATCAGAGTCAAGAGCGACAAGCAGGAGGTGACACTGCTCAAGGACCACCGCTCCCACAGGGGTGGGAAGTCCGGCGTCTGCGGGGGCGCACACGTGCGGGAGGGCCGTGGGGACGCACTGGGCCGGGGTCATCCGGCCACGGGGGTCACGCTCACCTGGTCACGGTGCGCCGCGCGCGCGGGCTGTGCGCCCTCTCCAGGCCCAGGCGCGCCCCGATGCCGGCCAGCACTAGCAGCGCGGCGACGCCGCACACCGCGTAGACGGCCGTGTGGCTGCGCTCTCGGCCCGGGTCCCGGGGCGCCGCGGTATCCCGGGCGCGCGCGGGCGGCCGGCCCGTCTGCACCCAGGCCGGCGTGTCGTAGTTGGAGCAGCGGCTCTGGTCCAGGCGCCGCGGCCCGTCGTGGCAGCAGAAGCGGTAGCCGCACGTGCCGCAGCAGAAACTGTAGGCGCCCGAGCTGCAGTTGAAGGGCGGGTCCCACTGGCCCATCACATCGTAGTAGCCGCGGCAGCGGTCGCCACCCGCGGGGGCCAC